CAAGGCGAAACTGGTTGACCCTTCGTGTAGGTGTGTGTGTGTAACCTGCGACGGCCACAGAGAGGGAGAGAACGTCATTAGGTACACCTTACCGTAGTCACCTGTCTAATATACTAATACATTATAATAAGACGTTACAATAGCTCTTTTCAATAATAAATTAATAAGTCATATACATGTGTACTGTACATAAAGATCGTTATTCACTGTACAAAATAGTATTCACTGTTCTACATACTGGTAATGTTGTGACTGTATGTGGTGATCGTAGAGCTGAGCGATGACGACCAGCTGTCAGTGGTACGATGCCCAAGTTTCCATGAATTCACACCGTTGGGAGGTTGGCTTATATATACTGGCGACAAGCAGAGGTACCAAGTAGGGACTTATCTCTAATGGAATTTTTTTTTGTTCAAGGAAAATATTAGATGTATATCCTTCAGTGGGCATTCATGGCTGGAGTGTGCGGAAATGTTATATTAAACTGGACTATAAAACAACTTGGAAACTACGGGTGTTCCCTACTCATCACACACCGCATCCATGCAAAACCTCGGGTAGATTCATATTTTTATTTTATTTATTTTTTATTAGAAATTTTGGACATCTGACATTTTTATTATCATCTTAATGGGATACCTAAAGCAACACTGATGTATGGGGAAAATTCAACGAGATCACGTGAGAGACAACAACACATTGGGTGCGTAGCTACAAAGGTTGGAACGTTGAGCTTTTTCCTTAAGTAGGGCAGTGAGAGGACGCGCTTAACAGATTGAACGCCAACAGTTCCCCTGTAATTATGAGTCTCAAGGTTACCCGTGTGTTAATGTTCCATCGTGTGTATTCAATTATTAAAATTACCTGTAATTTTCTCCTGTAAACTTTTAATTAATGTTACAGATACAGTAGCTAAAAAAAGAAGTTTCCGTAAGAACAAATTTCGCTTTATTTTCACAGCAGCATCCATTTTTTTAGTATCTGTCATGGTGAGGTAAAGACGTCGGTTGGTGGCATCTAAGACAAGCGACTTTACTCGAGGCTATGTGACATCTTCCCTGCAGCCTCTCCACATTCTCTGAGATAAAAATCTGATCGCTTTATTTTTTCATAGAACAAATGTCCAAAAGAACTGGTTGCGGAAGTGTCATTGGCATTGCCGTTTGACATTCTTGTGCCATAGTGTAATTAAAGTCGTTCCGCGTTTTCTTAAGTCAGGGTAGAAAAGCGCGTCTGAGAGCCGTATATTGCGCTAACGATCCACTGAACGACTTGGATACGTTTTTTTACTTCTTGAATAATAAAACTCGTTGATATTTTATGGAGGCGTTACAAATGGGTGTATGTTTCTTTTATTTTTTTCCGTATGTTTATGAAGCGGTTATTAGTGTAAACAAAATCACGCTGATAACTCTAACTGAAGCTGGCCGTCACTCCAACACTGCCTTGCTTTGACTTGGAGACGAGAGAGAGAGAAAGAGTTTTTAGTTTAACAAATTTATTGGCAGTGCTTGTAGTACAGTTTGCCTATTCTGAATAATTCAGTCAGGTCTTGACACTGAGGGTGTATCACTTCTCACTGTCACGCAGGACAGAGGTTCACACACAAAGAAATACATCATATTCATTAACAACTATAAATGTATAGAGGTCAGATTCATATGGGTAATGTCACTGTTCACTGCCATGCAGGACAGAGGTTCGTACACAAAGAGTTGCATCATATTCATTGACAATACATATACATATATGTAAACACACACACACATATACATACATATACATATATACATACACATATACATGTACTTGCACATATACATGCACACACGCACACATACATACATATACGTCGGTCAGATTCATGTGGGTAATGCCACTATTCACTGCCACGCAGGGCAGAGGTTCGTACACAAAGAAGGAAATACATCACATTCACCAGCAGCATATATAGGTCAGTGGATCACATACATTGGAGTCATATTCTAATTGAAGACTAATCAGTGTGGGCTAGCAAATTTGGGATAAACAGCAAGAATGTCCTCAAGCACACCTGATTCAATGAAGTAATTACATAGTTCAAGATACAATAAGTCAGGTGGCCTGAAGTCTTTGACAGTGTCACATTCAATAATATTGTGTTCAAGTGTATGCTTTAAAGGTTTATCACAAAGTTTACATGCTGAGTGTTCCGGTGTGGGTACAGCGTTACTAACTTGCCAGATGTGTCTGTATCCTAGCCCAATTCTGGCCACGACTACATCACATTGTCTGGTTCTGTCCTTATGCTGGCCATACCGGTACCTCTTGTTACAAAATTTGTCATATTTACTAATGCTACAACTGTCAGGTCTCTCTGCATTTCTCACTTCTTCTAGATCAGAGTTCATGATTCTGACTTGAATGTTTTTAATTACAGCATTGGACAGACCAAGGTCACGGTCAAAAGAAAGAGACGGAAGTAAAAATCCATAGGCCCTGGAACACGGTAGTGCTCCAG